TTTTTTTTTTTTTTTTTGTTTTTTTTTGTTTGTTTGTTTGTTTGTTTGTCAGGGCAGCAAAGGATGAATCAGATGCTCTGATCAGCACTGTCAAGTAATCTGTGAACAGAATGGTTGTTGGGACATAGATTCGCTTACCTTGATGTCTGTTCCCGTCACCAACCTCTGGACCGAGGGGTCTTTTCTAAAAGGGCATACTCACATTGGTACTTTTCTAAATGCATCTGATTGCAATTACGGCTGTAGCTGAATGTATCTGACCGCGATCGCGTCTAGGAAAAAAATAAAAACAGTGGCAGTGTGAGTAATACTGAGTATGCCCTAAGAAAAGATGCGATAGCTTCTATTATAAACAGAAATATGGGGTCTGCCAACGGATCTCCCTGTCTCATGGATCTTGTCATTCTGTATTTTTCCGAAAGGTGTCCGTTGACCCGGACCTGCCCATGCACATCGTCGTTATACAGCACCCTCATCCATTTTCAAAGGTTCGCCCCCACCCCCATTCTCTCCATACACTGCTGCAGGAAGTCCCAATTTACCTGGTCATATGCTTTTTCAAAATAGAAAAGAAGCACTGATGCGTTTATTCTTTTGTCGTTTATGTATCTCTTGCTGACTCACACAATGCCATAACGTTATCTAGTATGAACCTGCCCGGTATAAAGCCCGTCTGGTCCATATGAAGGCAGCCTGGCGTCATAGTCCGCAGTCTATTTGCTTTTCTCTCATGCTGCAGATTCATGCACGTTCCTTCCATTCCGCAGTGCCACGAGTCTGTCGCGGACTCAGTGGTACGGAGCTCGTCAGGATTCGAACTCATAACCTGTTTACTAACAGTTACATATGTGTACCATTCAGCCACAGCCTGGGTACGTACCGCTGATCTGCGGAGGATGTACAGTGCGGTTAATAGTCTTGTGATGCCTGGTTTTGCATGTGTGCCCTTGTACACATGGAATCTAAGGCCAGAAAGTTGTAGAACTGGGGCTTTGAAGCACAATATCCGGGGAGATCGGTTCACCTGCGGATAAGTGAGGGAGAGTCCAGATACAGCTCATTTTCATTCATAGCCTTGCAAGCTCCAATCCAAAGCGCTGAATCAAACCAAATCGCCCATTGCAGGAATTGAACCTGCAACCAGCTGATCTCAAATCAGAACACATACCACAATCAAAAGTGAGCTGGGATACAGTAGAAAAGAGCGACAAGTGTCAGTGATAGCCTTAGGGGTGTGTTCTAGCGGCAAAAGGGAAAGCCTGGAAAGCCTGTTAAACCACCAGTACACCCGGGCCTCCTTTTCCGAACCGCCAGCGGTGCACTTTCCAAACTGCCAGTGCGGCACTTCTTTTCTTTTTTGGCTGGCGGCTCCAGCCCTTGTGGTCCGGTAGGCCCTAGCCGCAAAAACAATCTTGTGGCGACAAGATGTTTTGCTGCAAGGCTGGGGCCGTGTACTTGTGCTTTAAGGGCAAGACTACT